CTCATCTCGACGCTGTATTCGTTTATAGCTGGCAGGAAGTTTCGCGTGTGCAGCAAGGCCATTTTCGACACCTGCGCGACTGACTTTGAGCTCGCCTCGAGTCCCATGACGTGCTCAAAGTCGGACTCGACCTTCTTCGCGACCGCGTCGATCTCGTTGTAGAGGCGGGCGGGCTCTTCGGAGTCGTCTACGATGGATCGGCTCTGGCTCTGGCCGACAGCGTTTAAGAGTTCGCTGTACTCGGCCCCAATCTTCTCCAGCTGTGTGCTCATGCTACCCATGCGCTTTCCGAACGCCTCCCGCACGCGCTTACTGGTACCCTTCGCCTTTTTGACAGCTTCGACGTCAAGAAACGCTTGGAGCGACTGGGCAGTCTTTCGAGTGCTGGGCGTAGTCTGTGCACAGCGCATGTCTTTGGCCAAGAAGCGTGTAAACTGGAGGTTTGCCGGTATCGCGCCTAGCTGTTCGAAGTCGGCATCCAGTCGCTGTAGGTTGTCCCCAGCCTCCTTCTCGACGCCGTCGTACCACTCCTTGGCTGCCTGGTACCTCTGCTCGAGCCCTTTGATATGCGCATCATGGTTCCCGACGGCAACCTGCGTGCCCTTCTCTATGGTGACTTGCTCGGCGAAGTGCTTCGACGCTATGCGGGACATGGAGTGCGACCTCTCGAGGAGCGCAAAGGCCCAGTCGCGGCGGGCCTGGAAGAGGGCTTGCCATGCTCTCAGGTCGGTATTGTCGGCGAGGGTATTCGGGGGATCTTCAGGGATGAAGGCATCGGGCAGTGGGGTGGTGGATATGGTAGCTTGCGGGTTGTTCGAGAGTTCGCGACTGAAGACAAATATCTGCTTCTGTAGAGTACATGAGCACACAACATGGAACAACTTGAGCTTTTCTTACCTCGGTCAACAGCGTCTGAAGCTTCACCTGCTTTCCCTGCGTCGTCAGCAGTATCTGCGACTCGGGCGCGATCTCCGTCGTCCTCGAGATCCAGTACTTGAGCGCATCGACAGAGCTAAAGGCAACGGGATCAGCGTCCAGGCGCTGGCCCGTGTGAGCTACGGCAATCTGCAGCGACATCCGGCATTCATTCCTACGACGTCGTGGTCTGTCAAAGCAGAAATACCGGAAGTGTCTTGTCTTGAAGGTTGAAGCGTGAGCATTTGGATACAGAGTTCCGCCAAGGAGCATCGGCGCAGGGATGCGGCGCATGGGCCACGCGATGCTGCATCATAGCCCTGGACAAGGTCGCGCCTTGTCAGATGCACACTGTCTCAGTCGCGCACTTGGAAGCACTCGGGAATAGTCTGCGATCAGCATGGCGACAACAAGGGACGTTGAGATGGCGGATTCGACTGCCAAATCGCAAGATCCAAACGACTACGCCGATCTGCTTCAAACGAACTACAGCGACGCGTTCGCCTTCTCCGATACCGAGAGCCTAGCCCTTGAGCTCTACGACCAGTTGCGGGAACTTGAGTTGCAGCAGAGCCTCCTTCAAGCACATGATTCAGGCACGTCTTGCGATTACAGTCGTTCGGAACTCTGCACAAACTGACTTTATGATATAGCACAGGCGCATGACTTCTCGGCGCTTCCAGATGACCTGCTGGAAAAGCAGCTGATCGTAGTGCAGCGGGAGGCCATGGAGGCGAAGACAGAGTACGAAATACGGAACAGGATCACACACAACGTACTAGTGATGGACCCTGTGCTGAAGGCTGTTCATGGAGGCGAACGGACCGGATTCCCAGAGAAGTAGGCATGTTGTACATAAGTTGTGTCGAACGTTGATCTGATTTCACCTAGGCGCATACTACCGCTGATTACCGAACATGACACTGTTTCCATGATCCACGGCTCTCAAACATCAAAGCTTGCTTCTACTACCCACGCCTTGCGTACAGCGGAGCAGGGAAACATTGTCGCAAACCAGAAGAACCGCGAGCTTGCCCAAACAATGTTGGCCCTGGCTGAAGAGATGAAGGCGCAATCTACGAAGGACATTGAAGATCCGCGACTACGCAGCCAGGTCGATGCCGCGGAGAAGGAGCTCAGGGAGTCAAGGCGGAGAATGAAGACGCTCAAGGGTATTCTCTCCGCGATGATCGTCGGTAGTGGGATCAACTGGGCCGCCGATAAGGGCCTAACCGAGCTTGTCATGGACGACGAAGAGGATGTATGAGTGTTTGCTGCGTTGTTGCTTGTTAGGATGTAGGAGTAGGGCGATTGATTGTAAGTTGGCTTGAGAGGCGAGTTGGCAGCTGCTACGGGAGAGAACGCGCAGCCCTACGTGACGCACTTGAAGGTAGCGGCAGCGGTGTGGAGAGTGTGCCTTGCAGCTGCAAAGCATTCTAGCGAGGTGTTATAGTGCGTTGCTGCTATGATGAACCTGATGTATGAAGCTCCTCTTGATGTTTGTGGGGCCAACGTCATAGCTGTTGCTGGAGCAATGATCCAGGCAGGATATATGCAAGGCACGGCAGATCAATCATTGTACCTAGGTACAGGACCCGTGAAGATATGGCATTGCGGGCGCCTGGCTTGCTCTGAGACATGATAGAAAGTCGATGCGCGAGGCGGACCGGTCATGCAGCGACAGCTCTGTCGCCGGAAGCGGGCCGCCAGTCCCCAAAGCATGCTTAGCCATGGAAGAACATCGATGCAGCGGTGTGAGACAAGGCTGCTGGAACTCAATCAGTGTACCGAGCCATTTGTCGAGAACATCGAAGACCTGCAGGGCCTCCTATCCAGCAGCGCGTGTGCGCGACCGTATGCTGGTGCTTGGGCAAGAACATCAGCCAGCCGCGTTATTATTGAGATAACGTCAAAGACTGGTTCTCATGCGTCTAGCGAATGGTAGACCATGGCCTTCTGCGTGCAATCTAAGCAAACGCGAAACTGGCCAGGAAAGAATAAAGGGCACCGCCTCCGCGCCCAAGGATACGCGATGTAGCCTGCGAAAAGATGCAGCAATGCAAGAGCAAACACGTGCGAGAATGCTCGTTGGAGATGGATATTTGCATCAATAGAATAAGAAGGCGACGGCGAAGCCATCCAAGAGTAACTATCGTTTGCAGCTCGCGCGGTAAGGAGACGCAGGTCTTGATCGATCAGGGAGGGGTCGTGGTTCGGGTGTGTGATGCCTAGCAGGAAAACAAGCGCAGAGACGTGCCCGCTTACTTAAGCGTACCCCGTTGTCCTACGAAAACGAGTCCCCGCTGCTGCCTTCATACTGAGCCAGCCCTTCTCACAGTTCCTTCGCATACAACACGACTTTGCCTGCAAAACACGTTTGGTGAGTCCTCGGCTGCATTTCAACAAGTCGCTATATCACCAGCACCACTTTTCGCAACCACACACCTTTTCCACGCTTTTTCCCGCTCCAATTCGCCCAACCAGCACTCTTCCCACCTCTTTCTTCGAATCTTCCGCGCATCATCGCGTTCGATTTCGTCCTCGTCGCCGTCTCCAGCACTCACTACCACGCGCATACTGACCGCAAAACAGACTTCAGTCAACGCACTTGATTTTCTCGAATCCAGCAACTTACGTGAGTACCTGCACCTTCCCTTATCGCTAAATCGCGCATTGTCGCGTCGTGTTGTGGTGTTTTGCGACCGCGTCACCTCAAGCGCATAGCAGCGCTGCAGCACCATTAGGCCGTCACATACCCGCAACGTCGTTTGCAGGCGGCGCTACCAGCATTGACTTCACCTGCGCTCCTACGCTTATAGCATCACCGCACCTTCCTGCTACTTCCTCTCACCTACACGCTGCTCGCCTCTCAACTCTCAACCAGCAACTGACAACCAACAACAGAAAGTTTAATCCACCTTTCCAACTACCACCATGCCTAAGGAGAAGACCACCCGCAAGGCTGCCCCCAAGTCCAAGACCGACGGCGGCAAGAAGAAGAAGGGTAAGCAGCTCACGTGTATCTATGAACTCTCAAGCTAATGCGCAACAGACCCCAACGCGCCCAAGCGTGGTCTCTCTGCCTACATGTTCTTCGCCAACGAGCAGCGCGACAAGGTCCGCGAGGACAACCCCGGCATCAAGTTCGGTGAGTCCCGTCATTCTTTGATAGTTGCAAGCGCGATCTAACCTTCCATAGGCGAGGTCGGCAAGCTTCTGGGAGAGAAGTGGAAGGCCCTGAACGAGAAGCAGCGCATCCCGTACGACGCCAAGGCTTCGGCCGACAAGAAGCGCTACGAAGAGGAGAAAGCCGCTTACCAGGTGCAATTGGTACAATCGCCCTCCTACCATGCCCTGACAATCCACTAACGACCATAGGCCAACGAGGCAGAGGAAGACGAGGAGGAATCCGAGTAGAGACTACGCCTCATCTATTCTCTCCACCACTTCGGTCGGGCGGTCATGGTGTTTCACGGGCGGCTTAGGCTATCAAGCCTTGATTTTCCTATCTGATCTTCCTACTTCTTAATGGGTTTGTTCATGCTGGCTAGTCAATCTGCGGTTTATTTCGGAAAAGATTGGCCGCGGTACAGCTCGCGCTTATGGCGGTCATGATGTTTGGCGTCGATGCCCTGACGCGGAAGACATCACGAAGCGACATGACCAAGGCGTATGTACACTAGTCACTTGCGGTATGAAATGCTTTGCTGCTATAGGAGATCTTGTTGGTGATGCTGTGATGTGCTCTCTCGGCGTAGCACTGTCCATGCCTTGAGTAGCTCGGATCCCAGGTCCACGCATGTATTCAACCATCCACAGACAGGATGTTGCCACTGTTGAATCGCACGTACGATGGCCACGTTCCTGCCTCGTGCCCTTGCCCTTGCCCGCTTCGTCTTATCGGCTTGCACGCCGCCATAACGGAACCCCGCGTCCACCACCGCACCTTCCCCTCCCACGCCCTCACTCGCTTTTTCCTCGTATTACGAATTAGCCTAGATTCTTCTCCGCACACTATCTTGCTACCATTAAAAACCACGTATAGAAATCTCACAGATAGTTAGTCATTCATCATTAAGCATCCCGCACCGTTAGTCCAGTGGTAGGATATCGCCTTCCCATCATTACAGAGAAGAAGGCGGGGGTCACGGTTTCGATCACCGTACGGTGCATGGTTAAGCCTGTAAGGGTCTCGGATTATTTTTTTGCTTTTTTTGGGGCTTGGTGGGTTACCAGATTGATGACATCTTTCCGCATGTGTGTTGAGGTATGTGACATGATGTGATTTTTAGTAGTGACATCACAGGTTGTAGGAAATGGAATGAGGCACGAGTCGCTTTAGCTAGTACTATTCGTATCTCGGGGGCAATATTTTTTGGGGGATGAGAAGAGTGCTGTGTTTTAAGGATATAAGGTAGCTATGTAAGTGGTGGCACGCGATGAGCTACGCCAAGACATGAACTGGAAGTAGTACTAGGGTATATATTCTACTTTTGGCATTGCAAAATTACTGAGCTTTGTGGTGTATGCTAAACGCCTTCGCTCTGCCATGTTTTGAGGCATACTGCCGCAACTATACACATCGAACTTATAGCCACTAAGCAATCCTGCTCGGCAAGACACGTATGCCTCCCGCAGCCCGTCTTATACCACCTGAATCCAGCGCCTTCCATATGATTTGGAGAACGCATCATTCCCTCTGCAGCACCACCATCAAGCCCATTATTCCCAGCATGACCTGCTTTAGCCACGGGTGTTCGCTCAACAGGATGGTAACGTATCCGACGAAGGGGATGAAGCCGATCACGCTTCCGATGACGTCTTCTTTGCGATTGAGGAAGGATTGCCCGGTGGCGTAAAGTTCGGTGTCGTCTGCGGCGTTGTTGTCGCCTTTTGTGAGGAGGCGGAGGGGTGTTTTGCTGTACCATGATCAGCTCAAAATTTCCCCGAGGATTCATACGCCAGCTAATCTCTCCAAGCCCATCCATGCCTCTAAGATACTCCCCTTCCCACGCTGCATGTGCTCTTAGAAAAGGAAGAGACTTACCCTCCCCCATATCTCCGCACAACACGGTGCACAATCGGGATGTCCTTGCCCTTGACATTATACACCACAATCTCCCCCACCTGTGTTTCCAGCCCCCTATTCCATAAGAAAAGCAGGTCTCCTCTCTGGAACGCGGGCTCCATGGACCCTGACAGGACGACGACGATGGGTGAGGGCGAGTTGGACACGATAGACAGACCTTTCCACATCATGAAGGCCGTGGACAGGACGAGCGCGAAGTTGAGGACTTGGGCAGCGAGTTGCCGCGGTTTCATTGCGCCGAGGCCGAGCATGGCTGCGGTTGTGGTGGGCGGTTTCTGGTGGTTCTGGGTTTGTGTGGTGGATGTAGACAGTTGTTGTCGGATCGCAGGGGTTTCGGCGGTTTGGAGGGATTAAGAGCGTGATAAACGTGTCTCGAGGATTTTCTGGGAGTTAAAGAGCCCAGGGATGGCGCGTCGTGGAACCGTGGTCGAGAGGTTGATGCCAGATGTCCTTGGATTCGTGGGTTCGCGGCTTAGTCAACCCCCGAGATGCAGGCTACGAACTCCGCATCGCTCCAACACTCAGACACGCTTGGGCTATCATCATCACTGGCGTATCGTCGCATAGTCCGACCTCATCTTCGAGTTCCAATGCCTACCATTCTTGTGATGATGTCGCAATGGCGCGACGATGTTCGAGCCGGGCTTTCGACTCTCACCTAGCGGGGCTCTTACTTGGGACCGCCTTCACCTCGATATGGGGTTGGCACAGCGCCTACTGATATTAGACTTCGTTTCCTCGCAGCTAGCTAAGCTTCATCTTCTTTCTCTTCGTTACACCTCTCTCTTGATCTGCCACTATCATAGCATCACGGCTCTGGTGCCCGGCATCTTCTTAGCGGCTGCTCAATCATCTTCTCACCGTCAAAGCACACCTTTCAGCGTGCTCGCGGGCAAGTTCCTGACGATTTGCGTGACGCTTTGTGTACCTCCCATACGGGGAATATCAAAATTCACTATACCCCCGGGAAATAGATATGCTCCTTGTCCCTCAAGGTTCTGGCTACGTGATTGGGATCTTCGACCCGCCGATATTGCAGACATATGCCTTACCCAGCCCTGAGCTTTTGAAACCCGCGCCTTCCACCTGCTTGCAAGACGGGCCCGACCCAAACGCCTGGAATCACCATGGTGTTCTTCACTCCCGGAAGTTTGATTCTGTATCGAGCATCTGCATCTCTGTTACCACAGTGGCCGGCAGTAGTATGCACAGATGACGTTGCACCGGCGAACTTTGTGCAAAATCGCGCGGATGGATATGTGTCACTGGTATTGTTGATGGGAGAGGAGCAACAGTTGTCAGCATGCCTGCGTCTTGGAAAATTTCACTCGTGTACTAATGTGGACAGTCGCTGGGCTCATACCACGGAAATGCATGACTTCGATCCTTTTGTACCCTTCACAGACGAAGAGACGGTAGAAAACACGCCCGGACTTGGCGATGCCTATGAGATGGCCAACTTCGCACTGGAAGCAGGGTTTGGGCTAGATCACTGGCGAGAACAAGTCAGGAAACCAATCACTATTAGTTCTTCCGGCAGTGAAGATGGCGATGCCGACTCTGACCCAGAAATGAGGTTGGCGCTTCGCGCGAGTCGAGAGCATTACTTCGGGAAGGCGCCCAAGAAGAGGTCTGCGATCCTACCGACGCCGTCCCTTTCGCCTCCAAAGCGAATCAGGCGCCCGAGTACAAGATTTGACGCGTTCAAACCAGCCGCAAAAACACCTTCGAGCTCTCATCCAACGCTCTCAGACCCATGGCAACGACACGAGGACCCCTGTGCCCGATCGACATCAACGGATAAAAATAGCGGCATACGAGCGACTCATCAGAAAACGACCCAGTGGACACCATTCGTACAGAGGTCATTTATGGATCGACTGAGACATGGTCCAAGCTCATCAAAACCAGTTGACGATGAGATTGAAGGCGAACTGTAAGTCCCTAGAGCGTTTCCGAAGAGGTTCCCGCTAAAGGTGCATAGTTGCGAAAGCAAAGATTTTGTGCAGGTGCTCGTCGGCCCCAAGAGTGAGGTCAGCACACTGCATAAACAAGCTGTATGGGATAGAGACTACTTCAGAGAAACTAGGCTGTCGAATCTGAACTACTTTGATCAAAATGATGACGGCATATGGCAACTGAAGCACCCACGTCTCCACGAAATCGAGCCAGCGGATTTTGCGTTCGCTGCAGAATTCCTTGAAAGTGGCGACTTTGGACACAAGTATCCAGAAGGAGACGAAGAGGTACACGAAGCGTTTGCAGAAAGCATATCCGCGTGGGACACCGCAGAGAAGCTGGGCATGACGGACCTTCTGGATCATATCTGCGACAAAATGGAGCGCATTGCTCCCTGGGACATGTGGGATGTCCTGGCTTTTGCGTGTCAGGTTTTCACTTCGCCCCCTCCGGACCTCACGGCACAAACGCGCATGAAGGACATACTAGCAACCGACATTGCAGAGCACTATTGGATCTACATCGAGGACGATCATCTGAGCACGACCTTTGTTCAGCGGCTTAGGGACCTGCCAGAATTGGAGCACGTCATCTACGTCAAGAGAGCTAAGGCTTTGAAGATTCGACTTGGACTAGAGGAGGAGGAGGATGTCATGGACATGGACTGAGTATCTGAAAGTCTCCTTGATTGAGTCTGCGAGTGGAATTTATGCTTTTGCAAAAGTCGGTTGGAGTGAGCGAGCCCGGACCGAGGCGTTATTTCGGTGATCTGGAGGACATGGACCATGTTCTTCCTCAAAACTATCTTTAGCAATACACAAATTGGGCTACATGTTCTCTGCCGCGCACACCCGAAATGTCGATTTCGCATCAAAGCTCAGCAGACGTGTGAGTGCCTGTGTAGATTGAATATCAGAACTACGAAGCCTGCCAGAGCCTTCTTAGAGCGGATGCAGGGATATGGAGAGTGAAGCCTTGACTGCTTTGAGGAGAGTATGTGACGCAAAGCTGGCGATAGAAGACGTGGGATTCAATTCGATCATTCACTTTTGTCTATTCTGTTAACGCCAGTATCCGACGACGAAGACTCACTGCAGCAATCTTAGCACCTTGATCAAATCCGCGGTGACACCCATAGCCGTGACGTCTCCTCCAGCACCCGCGCCCTGGATGATAAGCGGGTTATCGCCGTATCGCTTCGTGTAGAACGCAATAATGTTATCGCTTCCCTTCAGCGCCGCAATCGGGTGGCTCGTATCAAATTTCTCCAGACCGACCTTGACCTTGTTATTCGGCACATCGACACTGCCCACGAAGCGGATGACCTTGCCTTCTTTCTCCGCATCCGTCTTCAGCTTAGCCATCTGGTCGTCAAACTCCGGTAGCCGCTCCAAGAACTCGTCGCCCGATGAGCAGGACTCCAGCTCCTTGGGGATGAGCGACTGAACAGGGAACGATGTCGGCGATTCGACCTTCAGCCCTGCTAGACGCGCAAGAATGGTGAGTTTGCGTGCAACATCCAGACCATTCAAGTCGTCCCGTGCATCAGGCTCCGTATACCCCTTGTCCTTCGCCGACTTGACTTCCGCGGAGAACTTGCCGCCTCCGCCGCCTAGCGGTTGGAACGAGTTGAACAGGAAGCTCATGGTGCCACTGAAGACACCCTCAATCTTGACGACCTCGTCACCGGTCTCTACAAGGTCTTTGAGTGTGGAGATGACGGGAAGGCCGGCGCCGACTGAGGACTCGTGGAAGACATATCCACCAGTGCCGTTCCCGTTCGACGCAGCGTCGAAGATGTGTTTCCACAGGTCGTAGCTCCCTGAGAAGGCCTTCTTGTTCGGTGTCACGATGCTAATTCCCTTTTGCAGGAATGTAGGGTAGCTATCCGCGACATCCTGGTTGCTCGTGTTGTCCACTAAGACGACCTTTCCCGGCGCTTTCTGTAGGTATTCGCAGAGCTGTGGAAGAGGCAGGGCAGGTGTGTTGGTGCTCTGCAGGTCGGACTCCCAATTGGAGAGGGGCTTGTAATCAGAGTGGTAGACGGCTTTCTTGGAGGTGCTGAGCCAGATGAGCGAAAGGTTGTAGGGCGAGCTGGTGGATTGGGAGAGGCGTTGGGTGAGG